ATAGGATCTCAATGCACGGGCAATGTACACAGCGACTCTGCCGAGGCCACTGTCACACGGTTGAAAGGGCTTTCTCAGTCTTCTCAAACTTCCTAGAGATTCTAGAGGTTCTAGAGGCTTAAGGCTGAAGAGTTGTATGGCTCAGGGTTTCGAGGCTTCGGTTCCAGTGGGTCCGCCGACTGGCCTCGTTGGCAAGGCCTTGCCGGGCGAAGGCATCCTTGCTTCGAGACTTTGGAGTCTCACTTTCCAAACCTCAAGATCCCTGCACTCTAGAAGCTCTTGAGATGGACAGAGTAAACGAAGACAAGTTGGACTCCCAGCGATCAAAAGGGGGCAAGGTGCAAAAGGAGAATCTCACACAAAGTATCGGGGAACGATGGGGAACCAGGAAGAGGAACACCCCAAAGCAAACACAACGTCACCCATAACTCAGGCACTCGTGTCCGGCGCAGTTTCTTCCACGCTTGCGGCTCGCCCTGAGCCCTCGAACCATCAAGCACCTCCCGACACTGAGACGCACACCTCGGACCAATAAACCGCAGCCAGCAGGCCAGGACACAGTTGAAGCTGATGACGTCAGGCGATGGCCCCTCCTGCGCTTATAAGGGCAATTCAAGTGTGCTTTGGCGCTAGTGTTTTTATGAAGGAAGGAACTATACAGAAAAAAGTGCAAAACTTAAACTCTTTCAGTCGGCCACGCGTAGTCAGTGCAACTTCTGAATGATACGAGTAGTTGAGCACAGACTGGATCCTGGGACATGGGGGTCGGACGCACAGGTCGGGGCCATGGCACGGCGGCCAAGAGCACCCTCCCTTAAGTTTATCTCTGACCCATTGAATTGCGCCGAGCCCTCCTGGCTCCCTGATGGGAACTAGAGGCCTTTGATGGATCACGGCCATAAGTGTGACAGCCTGGGTAATCTGAAGCAACGTGTAACTCCCGACTTGATGTCAGAAGTACCCGAACCCAAAAACCCTTAAGCCCTCAACCGGCATGGCAAGTTGTCAGCTCCTGCAGGAGCAATTCCAGGTAGCGATGTGCCCCAACGACCTCACCCTTCCGCGCGAAGGCGTGGATCAGCCTCATTCGCTTCGGCCGCTTCGGGATTCGTAATCTGCAACCATATGCCGAAGTCAACTGCCCAGCCCTGGCTGTCTTGACCCCCCTAGCTACCTTGGTAACATTCAAGGAGGCTCACATGTGACATGTGAAGCGTCTCAGAAAGGACTTCCGGGCAACGTGGTCTCAGGTGTGAGGCTTGGTTCACACACTAGAGGACTACAGGTATTAGGTATCCCAGCAAGATTACAAGGCTCCGCCGTCCTGTCAACAGACATCTCAGAGCCCTCCAGAACATTGCCGTTGCACCTCTTTTAACGGAGACTTGTATGCCGGGCCCTTTACACAAATGATGTCCAGGAAAAATGTCAGGCACCAGCCGGCCCCCCAAACCCTCACCAAATGAATGGGGAATTGGGGTAGCTGGTCATTAGCACGGACATGTCTGAGTTAGGGTTGAGATGACAGGGTTTAGGGCTTAGGGTTTGGGATTGCTTGTGCCAGCGGCGTGTTGTACGACACCAAGTCTGGCTGCCTTGGCACTGGGCTGGTTGCGACGCATACTTTTTCTCACAGACTAGCTTGGCCATTGGAGCCCTCCATTGAGTACTAGTAAAACCCTGCAAAACAAGACATTCTTAAAGGACTCTTAAACCCAATAAGGAAGGATGCACGCACATATGAGAATCCCACAGGTCTTATCTATCAAGCTGCCTTTTGTGCTCATCCTCATACATCGAATCGAGGCTCCACCCTCACCTGCTCATTCTCTCACGCTGACTTGCTCTCATGCGCCTCAGCCTCAGTCTGAGCGACAGGCTCTTGCTCAAACCCTATAGGGTTTAGGGTTTAGGGTTTAGGGTTTAGGGTTTAGGGTTTAGGGTTTAGGGTAATTGCCGATATGATGGGTTCGGCCAATGGAAGAGGACAAGAGATGAAACGAAAGAGGTGGCGCTTCCAGCAAGGCTACTGCTGCAAGATTTCATGGACAGCTGTCTGCAGTGCCAGCTGTGGTCGTTCATGTACTCAAGCATAGGGACAGGAAGTTCAGGGAGTTCACGGCGATTAGAAGGCGTGTAGTTCAGAGCCTAGTCGTGCCGGTTGCCCAGCAACCGAGAAACACAAACGGGAGTGTTTCCGCTGCATTGAAACGGAAACTTAATCCCTAAAACAGGAATATGGGTGGAGCCTTTACGTCGAACTTCAGGCTATGCATCCGACATGCTCCATCAGCCAAGGTACTGGCGCGACTCGCAAAGAACCTTGGCCGTTGTAAAGCACCCCTAAACAAAACCAAGGGAGCGACTTTCAGCAGGATCCTTGAGCCCCAGCCAGTCGGGTGTAGGGCTTAGGGCTGATGAATCACAGACTTGATGGGGCTCATGTGCAGAAGGGCCTTCACTCTCTCCAAGGCTTGTTGCAAGCAACCTTCAGCCCCACGCCCCCAAATCTCAAGCCTTCCCTCCCTTGACCCCAAATCCCAGAAGGCACTGGATTTGAAATGAACACTATAGACTGCATTTGGCAAGCTCACTGAGCTGTGGTCTATCGCGAGGTGCTTGAATTTGGAGCCCCGAAGATGGACCATCATCATGAGGCGTAGGCGACCAGTTGTTCACTAGGGTTTAGCTTTCTATATTTTACTGTTAAGCTGTGATTTTTTATTATAAGAATCATGATAAAGATTTCTATTGTTATTTATATATGCAAGCTCCACTCTCCCGCCTCCAGGACCCCTTCGGCAGCTGCCGCCTCGCCACGACGCGCCCTCGCCTGAGCTCAGCGGTTTCTTGGCGCTCAGAATTTCTGGGGGTATCGAGCTTAGGAGGTTCAGAGGTTCAAATTTAGGGCTTGGAGGTTGCTTTGGTTTTCAGAATTCTGGGCTTCGGCTGATTTCCTCACACGTGTGTACAGGAGACACAGACCCAGTCAGTTGCGCACGGTGCTTTTGCAAGAACCTTCTGACTCGGCTTGAAATTGAGCCATGGTTTGGCAACTCTTGGCAAGACCCCTATAAGCATCTATTCGCCCTGCTCCCAAACCATAAGCCTCAATAAGGTGGCAAAGACGGCAAACAGGTGAAGACCAGCGTGCATAGATGGAAGCACGAGTCTCACGACTTCGAGGCAAATACTTGCACCGCGCCAAGGTGAGAGTCGAGAGCACCGTATTAGGAGTAGGAATACCCCCGTCGTGAGTCAGAAACCACTTACCCTAAGCCCTAAAACGACAAAAGCAATGAACTTCAAGCAAGCCAGAGCGCCGACATCAGGGCATTGCAGGCGATTAGGTCCTTGGTTCGAGCCGCTTCGTGAGTTGTTGGAGCGCAGGACCCTGGGCTTCGAAGGCTTGAGGACTTCAGAACTGAGCTTTCGAGAGCGGGCCGCTGTGGGGGCTGTGTCTTTGCTGGTGTCGTTTCTGGACTTTCCTTCGTGCTGCACATCTAAATACGTACACAATATACACGAATATACAGACCTATGTTGTTTTAAGGCTATCATTTACTCATAACCCGTCTCCGTATTTGACACGTACCAATATATACATATATATATGTATACATATACATATATATATACATACATACATACATACATACATACATACACATAGCTGGCACCCCTCGCCGCGAACTACCTAACCGTCGTTTCTATCGTAAATACCAACCTGCTGCTACTGTTGATCTTTGCGCTATGTTCATGGAGGATTCGTTGTGCATCGCTATGCTTATATTTACGAAAACTCAACTTCTCACTCTTGCCTTCCTTGAACATAATGCTATCCGGCATGAAGACATAGGTCTGCTGCAGGAACGAATAACAGCAAACATCAGCAAACCTAAATCGATGTAAACAACACAACAAATAATGATGAATGCACGAAATCAACTACTGAACATTTCTTTTAAGTTGTGGCGAGACACGGAAATGTAAGCAGGAGTCTCTTGTGTTTACGCTTGTTGGCAAGTACTGAATTAGTAACATGGTCCTTTACCTGAATACTGCATATTCGAGCACGATCATCGTGCTTCTCATTTCTGGTTGGATAAGACTCCGAATTCTAGCCGAATCTTGCCAATGCAATAATTTGCGGAAGTTATTAGCTTAACCAGTTTACATGTGCAGAGGGCTCGTTGCGTGATGAAAACTTGCAGGCCTCCGGCCCGAACGATCTGACTCTCTCATGTCTTCTTGCTAGCTGATCTACAGCCTGCAGTCGAAATGTCACGAAAAATGTGGCGGTAACCCAGCCATCTCAACTTGCAGTCGGAACTGAAGCCTCCACGGCAAAGCTTGTTTGCTGATGCATATCACTCTGCACCAGCGAATTCTCCTCCCCCCCCCCCCCCCCCCCCCCCCCCCCCCCCCCCCCCCCCCCCCCTCCCCTCCCCTCCGCCTCCGCCCACTAAAGCAAAGACTCGTCCTGCCGCCAAGATGCCGGAGAAATCCGGTGGCTTGTCATCTTCCGAAACCACACCTGGAAGCTGCTTCTCAGCACAGTCAGCCCCTGAGAGCTACGCATGCGCCGCACCGCTTCAATTGACGTTGCAGATGCATCAGCAGGGAACGCCGAGCGAAGCACTAAAAGCCTAAACGCGAGAACCTTAAGAGCCCAGTTTTCAACATACGCGGGCAGACATCATCCAGCGTGCACCCTTGCTTCCACCTCGGCCCGTGCCGGCTTCGATGCCTTTGCCGCCGCGTTCAGCAATGCACCTTCCGAAGGCGGCTTGAGGCCAATCCCTTGCAACTTCTAATTGTATCTAAAATCGTACCCTTATAACCCAGGCCGTGCTCCAACACTCTGATGCTGAAGCAGTGCGAGAGTGAAGCTTCAAAGGGCTGTCCTATGAGAACCCTGAACTTCCCTCCTAAGAAGACTATGCTAGCAGATGATGTGAAAGGTAGCCTCAGGCTTCCGACTGTCGGAGTCTTGAACATCACTCTGAAACGGGGGCACCGAAGCTGATGTGATCAGGCTGGATGTCTGAGTCTGTCATGAAGCTGAACCACCACTCCTTGGGCTTCCAGCTCTTGCCAGACATGTTGAACGCTCCAGGCCGTAACTACGGAAGTTGTCCTCTGTGAAGGCTGCGTGCCGCTAACAAACAGAGAGAAACAACTTTCATGTACAGCAAAAGATTTGTATACGTGTAAACACTAGCAAGATGTGATGTATGCACGTTTAAGAAAAGAAATATGTATAATATATATATATATATACACATATACATATATATTATATCTATATCTATACATATATATATATATATATATTTATTTATTTATTTATTTACACATGAAACGCAAGGGTTTGTATTGTATACAATATGTAAAATGCCGCGAAGCCGGAAATCTTAAATCCACAGAAGTCTACAGAAGTCCATGACCCAAATCTGCGAAGCATCTGCAGCCCGCAAACGCCCGCGCTTTGCAAAGGCGTCGAGGACGGCGTTGCCTCCCGAAGCACGGAGAGGAGAGGTGTCAACTTGATCTGGGAGCTATATAGAGCTTGCTGGGAAGAAGTTCTGGCATTTGCGAGGATTTGTGCCTCAGCTAAAGAGAGCAGTCCTCCAAGCCAGCAAGCAACGACACGGACTTGCAGCCCCCTCTCTCGCGCTTGTGTTACGTACATGGACCTCTGCCTTGGCCCAATTTGTCCGGCTTGTTTCCCCTGAGGACGTCTCCTTAGAATTATAGCTTTCTGTAGCAGAACTTTAGGCCTTAAGTCCCCTTCAACAGCCCCCAAAAGCCCTGCCGAGGGGCAGGTGGCAACAGGCACCCGCAGGCCCCGGAGCTCCATGCGGCGGAGCCAGGCTTCGGCGGCCCGGGGCTCGCCTGGGCCGGGGTTAAAGTGTGGGAGCTCGGGGGTTATAGGGCCTCTGTGGGAAAACTGGAGTTTTTAAGGGTTCTGCGAGGTTCTGTGGCCTCCAATGTTGACGCGAAGTCTTGGAAACTGAAGGGACACCCTCAGTGTGTTGAGAATTTGGTGGTCGCGGCAAAATACCCTAAAGCCTTTCATGTGCTGCAGCTGCGAAAGCCGACGGTCGTCAAGTTGCGCGACTGGCGTGTACAGGTTCCGGCACACTCCAGCCCGGAAACAAGAAGGGTCACGACCCTGTGCGTCCTGTGCTCCCGTGCTGTTGAACACTGAAAGTCCCCCCACCTCCCACGACCTCACTTTCAAACACGTCGCCCGCGCGGGCAAAGGCCGCGATGACAGAGGTGTAGCTTGCCACGTCCGGCGCGCACTTGCTCCAGACCATCCTGCTGGGGCCGAGACTCTGAGAGGGCCTCTTAGGGCGTCCGTGTGTACCTTGAGAGTCCCAACGCTACTCATTGCGTTTGGCGGGCTATGTTCGTCAAGAGCCGTTTCAGCTTGTTACTTAAGTGCACAACGTATAAAAGGTGTTGGGCTCTTTGAAACTTTCATTAGGTATGTTTGGGATTCTGTGGGTGCTCGCATACTTTAAGCCCAAAACCCTAAACTGCCTGGTCTCCTTCTGGGGCATGCGAGGTTGCAAAACTGTTGCAATGTTGACTATGTCCAGTTGGTGGAGGTGTGCAGATACGTTCACAGCCAGCCCAAGGTCTTGGGGCATTTTGCCATTCGAACCAGAGCCGTCACGAAGGTTCTGGAGCTTCTGGGGCTATGAGGGATATTACATGACATTACTACGGTCTTCGGGCCATCAGGTTTATTTCAATTGTGGACTAGGGTGGGTTCTGAGGGATGAGGAGTTCAGGGCTTCTGCACTTGTATCGCTCACTTACCGATGCGCCGCTGAGGTGAGTTGAAGGCAGAAGCCAAAGGCAAAATGTTTCGGGTTTAGGGTTTAGGGCCTTTGAAGTCAGGTGTGTAGAGGGTCTAGGAGTCATGCTTAAGGTTCAGCGTCCCCAACGAAGAAGATCACAGCAAGCTTGCGCCGGCGAAGCCCGGGCCAAGCATTCAACAGATAGGCTCAAAGAGGTGTTTTTACCCGATGCGCGAGTACCAATGCGAGCGGCCCCCGAAAAGCACCAATACCTTGAGCCCTAAACCCTGACAGCCCAAGATCCCAAAAAGACGTCAACATGAAACTCTATCAACCAAAGAACCCAACCCAACCCAACCCTCCCTCCCGACAAAAAACCTGGCAAATTCCGCCCTCTCTCCCCCTCTAAAGCTGTGAAATGGGGGTTTACGAGGGAATAGGGACCCCCAATATAGTCCCCCATAATATCGCAACTCCCATAATACCATGGGCGAAATAGCCTTAATTATCGGGGGGGGAACCTAGGGGGATGATACTGAAGCTTAAAAGTAGGATCCCCTTCTGAAAGGACCCTAATATCGTAAACCCCCCTCAGGGCCTGCGGAACCAAAGCTCCGCGCGGTACCCATCGCCGGCTTTGGCTTCGCCAGCCAGGAGCTGTTGGAACGCGGTGGTAGCGGGATGAATCCTGGGTTTAAGGCTTAAGGCTTTATAGGGTTTAGGGTTTATAGGGTTTATAGGGTTTATAGGGTTTATAGGGTTTATAGGGTTTATAGGGTTTATAGGGTTTATAGGGTTTATAGGGTTTATAGGGTTTAGGGTTTGAGGTTTAGGGTTTAGGGTTTTAGGGTTAAGGTTTTTTGGTTTAGGCTCCGAGGTAGGGTTTAGGGTTCAGGGTTCAGGGTTTGGGGTTGAGGGTTGAGGGGTTAGGTTGCGCCCTTGGGCTTTTGAGATGAGAGATCTTCTATGATCTTCTCATGTCTCGATGAGTCGCTGCAGGCTGTTGATTGTAGTCGATAACCTCCACCTCCGATCTCATAAGACTTTTAATTTAACGCTTTTACCCCCACACGCTTAGCCAAATCGTTTAACCCTGAAATCCCTGGTTCCTGAGGCTGGTAACCCTACTACCCTATACTGCCATAAACCTTGAACTCAGAGCTCCTGTACCCTAAGCCCTTAACTCCTCAAACGCCGAAAACCAACAAACCCGAAATTCTGACTGTCTTCTGTAACTCCAAACCCTAAACCCTGACCCGCACCCCCCCCCCCCCCCCCCCCTGAACCCCGAGAACAAAAAACCCTTATAACCCCCTTAACAATCCCATTCAGCTTTCACAAACTGCTCGTGCCTCTGCGCTCGTTTCGCTGTTAGCAGCTGCTGGAGCTGCACCTGCACGTAAAAAAAGTGCCCGACCGGCTTCGCAGCTCGAGGAGCTGTGGCTTCGGGATGAGTGGCGCAGGGCAGGCAGGGGCAAGGGCGTCAGCAACACGATGAAATCAAAAAGAACCTGGGCTGCCCCGCCTGCGATGGCATTGCTTGTTGCAACCACTCCCATGGCTCTCAGCATGACCCCCCAGCGTCAGCAAAATGAATGGACCAAGGATGCCCAGGGGCCCAGAGAAGTAGCCCTGACCTAACTCCCAAGAGTTGTCCCAGTACAGGGGAATGATCGCAGCGCTGCAACTGAAGGAGTACAATTACAACTGCTGTCGGTGCCTTCGAGCCCGGATCTTGCATGGAGATTGCAGGCGTGGCTTCAGGTTGGAGAACATCGGTCAAAGACCCGGCTCTTATAAACGTGGAATATTGATGCATATGTTGCAGTTCCGTACATACGCTGCGACGTAAGCTGGCATCCCCCGGCACAGCGCATTGCCTAATTTGCAGTCCATACAGATCAAAAAGCCTATAGGGCCTAGACCAAGAAATGCCAACAGCACAGCATCTGACAAGTGTGCCACCCCAAGACAGTCCCCGGAGTAGGCTTTGGACCCATGCACACACACCACAAATCAAGCCCGACAGGCCACACACACACACACACATGCACACACGGACCTATGACCCGCAAAGCCCTCTACGCCAAGAAACGCTTGAAACCCATCCGGAGCCACACTTCCCCACCCCAGGTCCAAGCTCCCAGGCGCAGGGAAAGCATGCCGGAGACTGTCAGGATGTGCATCGCGGCGCCGGAGAGCCACCTCAGCGAACACAAGAGCGTGAAGACTTGAGAGCTCATAATAAGGCTTCGAGGGTTTCTGGGGACTTAGGGTGCACAGGGCTTCGGGTTTATCAAGGCTTGGTGTAGCGGGGTTTGAAAAATCAGACCGTGTAGGTCATCAAGCGGCTCTTCTGCACACATCAGGTGCAGTTGGCAAGGTCGCTTTTTTGGGAAGGCCCCAGTCTCCTACCAGTAGCCGAGCACCACGCCAGAACAAAGCGCTGAGGCACAAAACCGTGACGCGTTCCTGCAAGTATCGGCATGGGACCTATATAGAGTGGCGGCTGGGGTTAGGGGCCTGGTACCCTGATCGTTCACCTTTGGCTGTCTTCTGGTTTGTTTCTGATTTGTTTATGTTGTTTTTTGTTTCTGTGTCTGTTTGTTTGTTTGTTTGTTTGTTTGTTTGTTTGTTTGTTTGTTTGTTTGTTTGTTTGCATTGTATGTGTGTTGCCTGCACGTGTTACCATAGAAACGGCCTCATTCCGAAAATCCCCCCTCCGACCAAACCCAGAAAAAAGGAAAACAAAAACCAGAAAAGACAAACGAAGACAACCAGAAGTTGCTGGAGGCCCAGGTTCTCTAAAACCTGGGAAGAAGATAAAAACAAAAACTGACCGCAGAGTCGGGTGGAGGACTCATGCTATGCGTCACTGCCGCTCGGCATGGCATTCACCACGTCCACCCAGGTCCCGAGCAAGTAACCCTAAACCCGGGCCCTAAACCCTAAACCCTAAACCCTAAACCCTGGGGCACCAGGGCCTTGCTGTGCACTGCCCAAAAAATCTAAAGTCGCAAAGGATTGGTCTAGGCCCCAAGCAGACTTGAAGAAGTGGCGGGTGTGGTCTGTTACCTTTTCTGTTGTTCTGTCTTGCTTTTCCCTGTTTGCTTTGGTGATGTTGCTCTTTTTTGCGTCCGTCTTGTGTTTACGTTTTATTTAGATTTATTTCTGGGGATTCTCAAAAACTGCTTTCGGAGGCTGTGTGGTGCAACGGTAGTCTTAAATTAAAGGTAAGGCTCTGTGGGGAACTCACACGACGCTTGAGGCACAGCACAATCACTGCAGGAATAAAACTGTAGTGAAGCACTGTGTGGTCGTGTGGGCTACAGGACACGCACCTCCACATGCAAGCAATAGCTGGTTGGCTCATTGCACTCGATGTAACAGTGCAACCCGCGACGAAGCACCCTTTACAGAACTAAGAGTGGCATAGGCTACTTGCAGAACTGGCCAATGTTCCCCTACCCCTGGCTGAGGAAGTTAAGGAAGTGCAGGGCACCCAAAGCAGGCTCCTGCGCACCGTAGAGCGCTCCCTGCAGCAGGGCAACTGTTCGCTCCGACGTTGGGCATTGATTGAAGCTACGGCAAGATGTCGAAAATTCCTCACGGTTGCATGAAAGTTGAAGAACACTGACAAGTCTTGGACAGATGCCCGACCTGTTGAATGTCATTCACAAGCACATGAACTTACGTAAGACTTCGGCGCGTTCCCGACACCCTCGTTGCCTGAATGGCAACCAAGGCAATTTCAGCAGACAATGCCCAAGGCAAGCGAAGGATGCAACAAAGCGACCTTTCACCCAAACCTTCGAATTCAAGACAAGCCCGTGTTGACCCTATTTCTTCACCCCCCGCCCCCCCCCGGGCGCCCTCTCCCCGAAAACACCCTGCCACTGAACGTCGCAGGCGGATGGTTTTGGGATTCTCAGTGGAGCAAGCTGGCTCTTTGGCCATGTGGGTCTTATGCGCCTTTCTTGCAAACTAGGTCATCCTTATTGGTACCATCACGCTCGAGACTCACACCAGCTATCTAGGACTGCGCGGTGGGCACCGCTGGATGCCTTTAAAACAACGGGCTTGATGTTCGCAGGCTGCTAGTCAGACATGCCGCAGAGAATCTCTCGTCCGCACCCAGTGCTGCGCAAGCTTCGTTTGCACGAGCTCACCCTGAATCGGCAACTCGCGAGTGCTCCAACTAGCAGCCCGACCGGTACAGGCAACAACTAACTAACTGGGAGAGCCAGACAAAGGGAGGTGAAAGCCCAGTAAACCATATAATCGCCCGCGACATCTGAGGGATTAGACACTCTTGATTAGAAAACCCCATGAGATTCCTAAGCTTCTCACTCGCTGCGCGGGTCCCGGCGCGGGATTGGACGCCCACCCCGCCGACCATGGAAAGGCCAAAGCTTCCTTGACAAGGGGGCAGGGTTGAAGGTTTAGGAGGCCAAATGAGCTTTTGAAATGAGCTTTTGGTGGTGGGGTTCTGCCCGTAGGCGTTGAGGTTTCGGCCTGAAGGGGTCTGAAGATGTTCAGAGTCCCTAAACCCGAAATCTTAGTTGTGGGGATTGCAAGGTACTTTCTTGAAAAACTCGTCGGTCAGTCGCCCCCCCAGCCCCTTGCCGCACACCTCAGCGATGCTCTGAGAGGCAGCTGGAAAAGTAAGTCACACATAGTCACACTACATCCCTGCATGTGATGGCAAGCCCGGTTGTGAGGGTTCCCCTCCTTGTCCTTGCTGAACTTCCCCATGCCCTCAGCACCCATCCCCACACCGGACCCCCAACGCCAGCACTGGCTTCACAACCAGACTCTTCTAAGGCCCCCTCCAACTTGCAACCTGAACGCCACAATGACCGAATCCGAAATCTTCTTCCGACGCAGGGTGGGCGGGGGAGGGGGGGTGGGTGACGGGTCAGTTTATGAAGTACGTCCACAAGCACGATCGACCACATTGAGTGCCAAAGCCCACTTGCATCAGCTGTAGGTCATAGGGGGCATTACGAATGGCATCTTTGCCTAGTTGCACACAGTCTCGCATATGCTGATTGCCGCCATGCTGCGTGGTCTGGTCGCAGCCGTATCGTGGCATTGGCAGCCTGGAGAAGCATGAAAGACCAGCAAAGTGCTAGTGAGGGATTGACAGCACGCAGCTTCTTGCGCGCGCTGTTCTGTGACGAGACAGCTGCAAACTGAGATAATCTGGTCCACATGATTCGGCTAGGCAGCACCTTGCTTACTAAATCGCTATGCTCAAGTGTGTTTGTAGGTAGGTATGATCGGAATGCAAACAAAAGCCGAGAAAAAACCCGAGGTCCAACCAAAACCCTACAAGCCTCTTTAGGAATGCCTGGCCGGGGCACGTCATCAAGTCATAGTCGACGCAGCGGAGGTCGTGCTCCGTGAGGGACGTAAGACCTTTGGCTTACGATGGCTTGTGGACAGATAGGGTTTGTAGTGGTACTTCACAGGGTTTTTAGGTGGGGTTCACTGGGTTCACGGCAAGTTGTAAACATTACAAGTAGGGCCGCGCTGCACTGCGTCAAGTCCTTCGCAAAACTGGTAGCACCCGTGCGTTGCCGAAAAGATGTTACGTGATGCCCTTGGGGTCTTCTTCTGCATCTTTGTCTTCGCGCAACACGGCCGGTTCAATTTTTCTCAGCCATGGCCTGTTTGGAGTACCACTGACCACATTCTCACAGCTCGTATGACAATGGGTGCCCAAAAATGGAGAGCCTACCATGTTATGCTCCTCCCAAGGTCGTAATCAGAAACCTCCATAGAAGGGTTTCAGCATGCTATGCCTGCTGGCGAAACCCAATGAAACTTCAAGCCCTTAACTACAGGTTGAGCTGCGTCCCCAAACCCGACACTCGAAATGGGGTCTACAGGAACCTGGACCTGCGTCTCAGTGGCCTAAATGGTCCGCGAGCTTGCGGAGCACCGCCAGAGCCCCAATCTTTGCGGGATCCTCTGGCTGGTCCTTGTCCTTTGCGCGTGCCGCGATGCTTTGGGACTCATGAGCGCCGATGTTTGGGGGCTTGCAAGTTTACTGACGTGGCTTCTGCCAAGGACGTGGAGTACGGAAGTAAGCTTATCGGATATCCGGGCTCGCCGGGAAAATAGGGCTTTTCTGGTCCGAATTGCGCACAGCCGCCACCGCAAAACCCACATTTCAGAGCCCCCAAGCTGTTCTTATCATTTTACATTCTGAAGCCCAGCTCCACAAATCTTGAAGACGCTACAAGCCCCATACCCTTCAAGAGCCCTGCCATCATAATTGGGTTGACCACGGTACACTCGACTTCAGATTCTTGGGCCGCTTGGGCCCCTCATAATCAGAAGCGACCAGTTTTCCGAGGGACGCTGCAAAACGTTGGGAAAATGACCCTCTTGGGATTCAGATCCGCAAGAGTTAGGGCCTTCCATCGGAGTGGGATCGGAGTGTGGAGGTTGTGGTCAAACAAGCCTGTGTGCAAAGACCTTGCACCTTAAGGTCACGAGAAGACTTTTCCCCGCCTCTGCGTCAGAAGCTTTATTGAGACACACACACACACACACACACACCCCTCCCACCCCCCATCCCTCGGTTTTTGATTCTCGATCACATTGTTGATGAAGATGCCGGGTGCTGTTGGTTGTGATGGCGGTCAGGACGCAGAAACAAGCCCCTTTGAAGCACATCCATCCATGGGTCGTAGGCCACGAGCTCCTCAAAGTTGATGACCTGGCCCACGACTCTGAACCACTGGAGCAAACAGAGCAAAGCCCCCTTAAGACCCAGAAGCAGTGTGCCCTTCTCTCATGTTTTATAAGGTTTGGGGCATCTTTACAGGTGCAGAAATCCCGAACCTCGATCAAAGCACTAGCAGCCCGGTCACGTGCGTAGCCGCCTTCATCCAAGCTGGGTCCTTTTCCGAGTCCAAGGACTTTCAAGGGAAGCTGTGAGTAGGGAGTGATTCTTGGATCGAAGCCGAGGACGAACGGAGTCTTGAAATTGGGATGGTTGAAGCAGCTCGGGAAAAAGAAGCCAAAACGAACCCCAAGACACATTAGCCAGCTTGGGGCGGAAAGCACCTACGCACTACCTAAGATTTCACCATAGTGATGCCACAATCGAGGAGGGGCTCGATACGGTATGGGCTTAGCCTCTGAAATGCTCTGGCGTAGTAGGAAGCGTTGAATCCACCAGAACCCCACCCTCTCAAACCCTCATCGTCGAGCCCGCCCCCAAGTCCTGTAAATCCATCTGCCGGCTTGCAAGAACCCTAAACCCTAAACCCAAAACCCTAAACCCTAAACGGCCCTAAACCCTAAACCCTAAACCCTAAACAGGATCTTTAGTGTCCGGCCTCTGCGAATCCTTGCCTCACACTCACGATCACGTGCGTGAACATCGGCGACACCTTCGGCGTGTAATCGGAGACCCAGGGGGTGATTCGAGAAACCTCCAACCAGCTCAGGGCTTCGATCTGCCATCATGGAGGTCTCCACCGGAACACTCAGAAAGTTCTCGGGTGCGGACATTAGGGCATTAGAATGCCTCCACCCTGCTGCTGATTCCGTGCCATGAATATCCAAATCTAACATAGTCTCCCCCCCCCTTCCACAGCCAGAGATACTCATGCTAGGCCCTTCAGCTCGGACGGTATTCAAGACTTGACGAGGAGCGCCTCGTCAAAGGATGTTTGTGACATCTCGCCAGTCCACTCGTGCGTCTTGATGACCTTGCTTCGGATTTGGACTCAGGGCACGGGACCTGTCGGCAGTGGCTGCTCAAAGCTTCCATGTTCCTACGCCACACCCTCTGTGCTTCCTTGATTATGCTGGAATTTGGTACCAACGGGTGCACCCCAGACCTTCAACCCTAAACCTTAAACCCTAAACCCAAAACCCACCCTGCCAGTTTCTGAATGCATCCCAAAGGCTACGTGGGCGCCCATCTCCAGGCGCTGCTGAATCTTCGAGCGGTCGAGGCACCGCATCCAGTAACTGGGCTGGGAATATGTCACACAACGAATGCTTAAATGCTTGTGTATATATATATATATATATGTTATATACGCGTCTCTCAGATCTGATAAGGATGGACCAACGGGGCTTTCAGGTCTATGACAACCTGCCCTACTGAGAGTTCGGGCCATCCTTGACCCGCGTGTCAGGGAGCACTGGCGTCAAATAAACCCTACTTATCCCAGAATGTCTCGCAGGGAAATGAAAAAATGCAAGCCGACAGACAAATCATGGGTGGGCTGACTCGAAGTTGTTGAACAGGCCTGGAGGGTTTGTGGGTCAAGGGTATCTGAGGAAGAAAGAGATTCCGAGCAGGGCAAGCTGGGCATACTTTCTTCTGCGAATCCTCTCACCCCTCGACCCGAACCCTAAACCCTAAACCCTAAACCCTAAACCCTAAAGCCCTTAAGTTGAAACTCCTTAAGCCTGAATTGGGCTGATCGAGCCGCGAGTCGCAGGCCTCTTTGGCCTGCAAGCTGCAGGTCGTCACAGTGCTTTGGAGTCAGGTTTAGTTGCGAAGGGTTCGGGGGCTAGGAGCTTAGTGTTAACAGTCCTCAATTTAATCCGGAATATACATATACGGAAGATGTTGGAGGTCGGCATCCATGCCTTCAATCCAACGTGACGGAAATGGGCAAATTTCCCAAATCAGGGCTACCCCCTTATGTACCCCCTTATGTACCCTCACATACTCTGCCCCTCATTTTAGGAGCCCCCCCCCCCCCGCCCCCCCAACCCCACCTATAAAAAAGGCCAAATTTTCGAAAGCCTCCACATTGAGTGCAGAGCGCTTCAAGGTTTAAGGGGATCCGATTATATCCTTGAGAGGATCCTATGATATTTTGGGTTATAGTTGGGGTGCCCCTTATAGTTGGGAAATGCCCACGTGGACGCATGTGAGTTCCCATGTCACACAAAGCCACAGAGCAAGGAATGGCCTGCCGGAAAAGCAATCGCGTGGCGTTGAAGACCCATGTGGAGGCAGTGCGGCCCATGTCGCGGCTTGCCTTATCAGGATGGGTTTAGGGTTTAGGGTTTAGGGTTTAGGGTTTAGGGTTTAGGGTTCAGGGTTTAGGGCACCGCCATGAAGTGCTCTGAGCGCCGAGGGTGTCGAAGGTTCAGATTCAATGTGAAGAGTGGATTGGGTCACCGTCCTTGGCGCCCTCACCCCTTAGCTTTCGGCTTGGGTGGTGGCCCCAAGTCCTACGCCTGCAGCACTCTTCGATCAACCAGGACCTGAAAGACTTCCAACCGCTAAGCCCTGACCATTATACCGCTTGCAGGGCCCTGCAGACCGCGGCCTGCACTAGAGGCTGGCCCTGAAAAAACTGCTTCAAAAACCTTTCATGGAGCTAAATCAAATCGGCGTTGTTCTCTAAGTTGGGCCCAGGCGGCTCTAACTCAGAACAGGCCCCGATCCTTCAAGCCAAAACACCCTGAACCCGAACCCTCAAGGCCCTCAACTCTGGCAGGTCGGGTTGCAGTAATCACCACCTGCGGCCTCGAGGGGTAGCGAAACCCAGCGCCTCTCGAGCATGCCCCTAGCTTCTTTCTAAAGGGCTGAAAGACAAGAGCTGGAGAAGGGGTGAGGGTGTTAGGGCTTGTTGTTGAGAACCGGCTTCGGTTCAGGAGTTAGGCTGAAACCGAAACCCGAAGCCCTGAAAAACCCTGAGCGCATGAACTCGAAACAGACATTCGGCCCTTAACCGCGCGCATCCCAAGCCTGACAATTCTACATGGGCCCAGATCAATTAAAACCTGTAAATCTGCACCCTCAAGCCCTTGCAAGTAAAAGAGGTTCCGGGTTTATCCGAGAAACATACTGTACAACGCAACCATCAAGAGAAGAGGCTTGAGTCTTATTGGACCGCAAAAGAGCCACTGTAGGGGCCCAAAGCATACAAAGCCTTTTCTCTCAGAAGAAACATACTGCCTCAAGTCAATGTGCTCATGCGTTGTGGGTGTACCAGTCTACTGAAATTGAGCAGTCTCGTCTGAGTCGTGAAGAGCTTTGGCAGCTCTGGCACAGCTTGTGGTTGCTTCGGGAGTCTTCATTTTGTTTTGCCAGCTGTGGCATAGCAACAGCTGCTGCACCTAGCAAGCCCAAGATGTCAGCAGCTGGCACGAACAAGCCAGACGCGTGATAATGTGCAGAACTTCGCCATCGATGGTGCAATTTCAGCCGTTGCACCTGCTTTGCCAAAAGGATGGCGCAGCGTAAGCTGCCCATCTCCACAACTGCGCACGGTCGATTGCCTCCCCTTTCAGCATTTCAGCCGATTCAGCCTCTTCCGACGTAGCCCACACTATGAGTTACAACCGAAGCTTGAAGCTGTGGCAATCCTGCCAAGCCTACATGACCAGCAAAAAAAACTGTCGCTCTGAACAGTAGTCTATGGAGGACGGCGGAGTAATGCATGATGGTTTCGTCTTAGCCTGGCTAGTGCAGGAATTAATCCACCGGAATAAATGCCATTTTTATCGATTCCAGTTCAGGACCTGTGCTCTTGGAATGCAGAAGTCCAAAGGGGAGAAGCAGTCTCCCGATGTGTTGTAGTTTATGTTGCGAGCGCGACGAACTGTCGACCTGTTGCTGTATCTCCAAGGCATCGGGCGAGCTATATTTAGTAAGTTAAAACGTTTTGTCATAACGAAATGGTACCCCTACAAGCCCTTGACCAGCCTTCGTCAAAGCGGCGCAGCTCGATCGGGTCAAGGTGCCTGGCTTGGCAATCAACTTATGGACTGAGAGCCCATTACAGAGTTGAGGCTGAGTTGAGGAAGTAAACAAAAAACTGGATTTTTTTTGAAAAAAACAATCAATCCTAAAACTTCAGCACCTTTCGCTTGGGTGATCTTTGCCGTACAGGGTTGCCGATTTCAGGCTTCAGGCCCCTATGATCAAGTGCAAAGCTGCCTCAAATACATAGCAGAAACCTTGGTCCAGCCTCCCCCCCGCCCAGCAAACAACGAGCTCCTATGAGTCGTTCAACCTTAGAACCCCGCGCCGAGCCCTGAAGGAAAGACCCAGCAGCAGAAACCCTGAACCCTAAACCCCAAAAAACCCTGAACCCTAAACCCCCAAAAAACCCTGAACCCTAAACCCCAAAAAACCCTAAACCCGGAGATGTGAAGCCTTATCATACTCTGGAGCCCCTGGACTGGTGGACTGGTGTGAGGAGCGCAGCAAAAAATGATATGCCGTATATGCAAAAAACAGGATCTGTCTGTCTATCTGTCTGTCTATCCATCTATCTGTATACATATATAAGCATAAACATGTGTATATATATATATATATATGTATATGTATATGTATATGTATGTGCGACATATTTGGTGCGTTCATGCTGCTTCTCCGATTCACTTGTAGACCTTCTTGTGATGACCTTAAGGCCATAAGCTTAGGATGTCATGTTCTATATTGGGAAGCCCATTGGCTGTGAAGGAGGGGCTTTCCTCGCGCACACCTTTGGGAATCTTTTCGGCCTCAGGAATCACCTCCACAACCCGGACGCAATGTGCGCCGAGTGTTGCGCAGTCCGGTGGGTCTGATCATGGAATAAGTGCTTCTCGAATTCCCCCCAGAAGGTTGCGGTGACGATTGGGCAGTTCAAGTAAGGGCGCACGGGCCGGAAGTTGAACATGAGCGAGAAGTACGCGGCCAAGTCTGTGGCCAGGCGGCACATTCCTTGAACAGGCTGGGGATGGCTAGACGTGGGTTTAGGTCTATATAGTTCCCGAACTTCGCAGTAGGTTGGCACACGCACACATACGCACACGCAAACAAGCACACACACACACACAACGCATGCACGCACTCAGAGAAGGCAGACAGCGAGATGATAGCAAATAAGAGATTCAAAGAGATCGGAAGGCCGGAGAGACAAAGGGGCAGAGGGCAAGCTGGAGAGAGTGAGAGAGAGACAGAGAGAGTGAGAGGGAGGGGCGGGAGGGAGAAGGAAGAATCAAACCGACAACTCCGACAACAAAGGACAGAAGGGAGAGATGAACAAGTATGTTCATGGTGCCCAAGCCTAGATGAGTCGCAGCACGACGCGCAAACTACAAGTTTCATTGAGAACCGTTTGCTTCAAAGAAAACCCTAAACCCTAAACCCTAAACCCTAAACCCTAAACCCTAAACTCAGCTGCAACCTGGGTACTATACCTCTCTGCAACACCCAATACCGGCTGGCCGGCAGGTGTGCCGCTCACCACGAAATGCTGGCCGTAAATGGGAATAAGTCGTGGCACGCCTTTCCTCACAGTTTCAAGGTCAGGGTCAAACTGCGACTACCTGCCTGGATCTTGGTACCATGGTGAGCCCTTCTAGCTCTGTTTCGAAATTTGGGGTTTACGAAAATAGGGGGCTTTAAATAAAAGACTCCCAAATAATAGGATAGGATCCCCTTATGCTACTGAATTTAGGAAATCCCCATTTGGTTCCGCCGAACTGCCTCGCTGAGCCAAGGAGCAGGTGCCTTTTTGTCAGCGAGGCCCGCTCATTCCTGTCCTCTGGCCGGGGGCCCCACTCCTTAAGCAAGAAGGACCATGATCCAGGCAGGGCCCCGTAGGGCCAGGTAGGGCTTCGAAATTCGAAACGTTCCACGTTCTTACCCCGAGATTGGGGTATTAGAGGGTGGGGGAAGGGGCCGGTGCAACAGGCCTGATCGGATGGAAAGGTGTATTGATCTTGGGGGGGGGGGGGGGAACACTCTCAGTCATCCCAAACCCGATAAACCCCCAAGTTCTTAGGCCTTGCCCTTGTGCAACAACGACTCTTCCAACCCCTGGCGCCCTGCATGCTCGTTTGTGTGGGGGGCATTTCGAGGGGTGCCAGAGTTTCGGGTGCGGGTCATTGTGTGGGTTGGGGGGGGAGAGGGGGGGTGGTGGGGAGGGGGTGCGTGAGGGATCCAGCCAAAACAGTGCTGAAGCTTAAGGGGTCTTTCGCCACTACCAGGAGGAAGTAACGAGATTAATTGGAAAGGCAGCCCCGCTCTCGATGTTCGTTGTAGAAGGTCGCGAGTTGGTTCCTTTGCGTGGGGCTTACGGCCAAAGCTCCTTAAAAGGACGGATTCGCTTCAAAGCAGTCACCGTTGTACGGTCTAAACCAGGCCAAGGCTCAGAATACCAAAAGCTCTCTACACCTCCCAGTCTCTCGTGAATGTCATCTCGCATCACCGCATGGTGGTCATGTACACTGACGGCAACGGTCCGGCGCCAGTTCCTTGGAGGTCTAGCTCGCAGCGATGCATCTTTAAATTAACATCATAATCATAGAGCATCTTGTTGCTTTCATCCAGTTTTCTTCAGTTTTTTTGGGGGGCTGGTACGAGCAGCAGGCAAAAGGACTCAGCGGAGCTTCGGAAAGTCGGGCCCCTCGGGCATGGCAGTCTGCAAGAAGAGCCTCAAGTCTGGCGGGAAGGAGATTTTACAGTTCTCCTCCGCGTTCTGAATCTCTGCGTCCGTCATTCCGGGCGAGAAAACCACACCGGCAGCCCTCATGTTGTGAATCAGCTGGTCAATGACATCCTGCGACAGGAAAGGCTGCACCAGCACTGACACCTCATGCACGGAGTCGTGGTCAGTATCATGCAGCTTCCTTCCACCATGGAGCAGCGCCACCTCGAAACGATGGAGCCCCAGGCGGTGGGCCACTTGGCCCCGGATTTCGAAGACACCGGATCTCGAGGGAAGCTCGACCTCGAGCACCTCCCCACTCAGGAGGCAGGCACGAACCTTCTCACCTCCACGTGGCTCGCCGTCCGAGGATGAGGCCATGGCAAAGGGGGCCCTCCTAAGCGACCGGATGGACCATGGTGTGTGACCCTGTCTTCTCCAACTCATCAGCTCATCAGAAACCCCGCACTGACCGGAGCAAAAGTGAGCATGAGCGAGCATGAGTGAACATGAGCAACTCCAAAACAGAGCTCGGTGAGTCGGACTTAAACCATGGAAACTTTGAGTCGAACCAAACACATAGACTAGGCTGGGAGCCTGCAGCTTCGGAGATTATGCATGGTCTGGACTCCACCAACGAGCACCACACGGGGGGGGGGGGGGGGGGGGAAAGAAACCCAAAAAACAAACGCCGGAAGGGGGGGGGGGCAACGTGTCCAGGCCTACCCTCGCACTCGTCGTGGCAACGTGAGCCTCCAGAGCTCAGACTCAACTTGAGGTCAGGAGTCAGGAGTTTAGTGGCTTTGCAGAGATTTGGGAGATTTGGTGATGTCTGGGATAGTCGCAGGGAAAAGCCCTAGCAAGGCATGAAGTTTTGAAACTGATGCAGGGATTTAAGGTTTAGGGTTCAGAGTTTATGTGGCCCTGCAGAGACAGAAGATACCGGAGTGCTCTCCAAAGTCAAGAAGGCCATTGCAGTTTACACATACACACACACACACATCTCTACGTCACAAAGCCACGTTAATTAAGTTCCCTGGCCTACTGTGGGTTTGGCACTGAACGGCACACGCGGGTCTCTGGGATGTACCATCGCTGGTGCAGGGCTTAACATGAGAATGAGTTGTCACCTTCTGAGCCAACCGAACTCTGAGCCGCTGAACAATTACCCAAATGATGCCCTAAACCCTAAACCCTAAACCCTAAACCCCCCGCCCTGAATGCCCCAAATGCTCGGAGTAGCCTGTGGCTTTGCTGCCGCGGCCATGGCAATCAAATGGACCATGGCCTGGTCCATGGCTCGGGGTTAAGATTTGTCAGCTTGGGGGTTTAGGGTATAGGGTGTAGGGTTTAGGGTAGGAGTTCGGGCTTTGAGGGTTTAAGGACCTGATTGGGGCCTTATAATTAGGGCTTTGAGTTAGCTCCAGGTTCTGGCATTTGTTGAAAGGGTTTGGGTTTGGTTCTGAGCTTGGGGTTGAGCATAGGTCCAGGAAAAACGCATAACAAACGAACGTGATTGCACGACCCAAGGTTTTGGCGCTATAGCTCACGTGCAAACCCCTGCTGGACGAGGAGGAGCTATGGTTGATATGTACTTGTATGAGTTGTCTTTTCGTGTTTATATATACTGTTTTTCATGCGGACAGTTCTGTTCATAGATTTGTACTTCGTCTATTTGTGTATACTCGTACTCCATTTGGTGTTGATGCTGCCGATGCAGTCATCGGATCCGAGGAATCTTAGGTTGGCCAAGCTGCAACTTGGATCATTGCTGCGTGGCGCGCCACCTCAGGAACAACCGAACAACCCCGTGCTTATGGCCCTCACTCAAAGCATGTGCCAAACTCAAGCTCGCTTGTTGCTGAGTTCTGCTAGGTGGGGCAGCATAGCCGTTTGGGTTGTGCCTACAATAAAAGTCCCGAACACAGGGCACTTCGCAGTAGCGTTGGGGCCGGATTTGTTCCCCAGCCCGTATAGCAATTAAACTCTAACGCGCTCAGTGCCATTTTCTCACCAGGTGTGGGCCGTTCCGCTTGGACACCAGCCGCACGGTGATTGCTCCTGAACAACATGCACATAAAGATTCGGAGTTTTCCACAAGCACTTTATGAGTAGCTGCGGTTTCCAGGTCGAGGGGAGGGGAGCTTGTTGGCTCTGCAGCCGCTGCTGTGCATGACTTGAGCCCTCGAAGTATAAGACAAATTAAGAGGAAGAAACAACTCGTCACACCCGTTACCATTGCCATTCTATCACCTAAGGGAAGGCACAGCCAGAGAATGCTTATCAGCGAGCGGAGCGGAACGCAAGCACCGTCGCTATGTGGACGCGATGTTGCTGAATGCAACCATCAAATCAACGTCTTATACTGCTGTCCTTTCATTTGCGACAGCCACGGTTTTATAGGCCACCTTACGTTAGCAGCGTGCCATTAATGATGAGCTACTATAAGACGATTCGTACAATTTCCATCGTTCGTCATTCATGCGATGAGTGTATGAGAAAATGCCACTTCAGGCTTCTTGCTCCATTACACCCTGCAACAGCTTGCTCTTAATGGCGGTATCATGTCACAATAATTAGCCTGCTAGTAAACCACCCCCAGAACTCTAAGACTTAAACCCACAAACCTAAACCTGAACCTGTGAGGCTGCCCTATCGCAATCTTTGCCGGAACGCGCATGCGCGAGAGCCACCAGGGTGTCGAGCCGCGTGCAGACCTCGGCATTTGGAGCGTTTGCTGTCTTGGGAACCACACCCTAACCATCCCTAACCTTAAACAGCCTACTGGAACTCTAACATCTCCAAATCTCACAGCTCCGAACCCTGAACCCTTAACCGACCCCCCCTTTCCTAACCTCACGCTGCAACCTGAAGGTCTGCGGTCTACGTCTTCCCTGGATCACCTTTCAAGGGGGCTTGTGCACTGGTCGGGGAACCTTGCCGGTAGCATGGATGATGGAAACCCGAAACGTAGGGAATTAGGTACCCCGTATTCTGCATTCCAAGGGTATTAGGGTACCTAGCTCCCTCACTCCCTACGAAAGACCCTAATTTAGTGTAACCCTCACAAGAAGTCCCGATACCCTGAACCCAGAGAGCTCCAAACTCGTAGGAAAACTGAAGCCCTAACCCCTTTTGAATCCTGAAATCTTGCAACCCTCAAACAACGCTAAAAACTCCTTAAGCGTTCAGTCCTAGAGACCCTATAAATGCTCTAAACCTCGGGCCGTGGCGTCGGGCTCGAGATCGACCAGTCCACGCGCCAGGGCGCCACAAGGACTTCAATGGTCCAACCGGTCTCCTGAACTGGTTTTACTTGATGCGAACCCCTACTGGACCAAGAACCCTACAGCCTAAAGCCTCAAAGTCCATGCATGAAGCTTGTACTGAAAAAACGAAACCCGCAAATCCTACCGCGCCATTCTGAAAACCTAAACCCTGAACCCTAAACTCTCATTCAGAAGGTCTTCAGCCTCACGAGTTTTCACTTGGAAGGATGGGGATGGAAAGGTCTAAGGGGTTCTTAGGGCCTAGATGGACTGCCATCCTATGGCATTTTTGGTGCCCCAGATACTGCCCCTTGAAACAGCCAGCCTTCTGTTTTGGCTTTGACCATCTTTGATCTGGTGTCAGGCCTGGATAAACTCGTAGAAGGCCTGCAGCGCATAGCCTTCAAAACCGGCATAGTTCAGGATGTCGTCGAAGGTCAGCCTTGGCACCGGGGCAACTGAATTAACACTTATAAATAGGGTTTATGGTTTAGGGTTTAGGGTTTAGGGGGCCTCAATATAGGCTTGCTAAAAAGAATCTTCGTCCTGCAGCGCTGCTTAAGGTCTTCTGGAAGTGCTGGACTTCTGTCCAAGTTGCAGGGACCCTGGCGCCAGGTAGGGTGCCAGGAGGGAGAGGACAAGGCGGTGGCCAGCATAGGTGTCACAGTCGAGGTGAAGCCACTGGACCTCGAAGGCACCCGCTTGTTGCCGGCACCCTAATCTTAGGGCTACAGCCTTTTTAGGCTCAGAACCCTAGTGCTGCAACCAGAAGTGCGCCGGGACAGCTGCAAACAGCTTTGGCGTTTTTCGGACATCCTGCTGTGTCAGCCGAGCTTCCTTCGCGCCGCCGAGGAGATTCTTCTCGATGAAGGCCGGGAGAGTCTTGTTGTACCATCCGACTACCAGCTTGGCGTTCGGAGGCAGATGTTTCGGGATTCGCCCGTCCGTGCTGAACTGGAAGCGGTCAAACCTTGTCACGCAAGAGCAAAGGTCTTGCATATCAGCCACCGTCCCGACGCCTGCCGTATCAATCCTAGAAACCCCAAAGCCCTGTCGGCCCTTGAACTTCTGCGAATATAATCTAATGCAGAGCTCTTGACGTGTTGAGGATGCTTATGATGATATTGAGAACTGCTCACCCTTGATCCCTCATCAACTTCCAAGATATGCAAGGCCTGCCCCAGTCCTCATCCAGCCCGCGGAAGGAGTCGAAGCCGTAGACGGGATGATGCCCAAACCCTGACCGTACAACAGCTTCAGTACATAGGGGCTTCTGCTATAAGGTTGGGAGCTGGGTTTCAAAAACTGCACTGGGGATCCGGAACACCTGAACACCATCTGCCTTCAAAATCCTACAGCGCGCCTGTGCGCATCAAGTGGATGGCGGTGCTCCGCAGAGTGGCACCAAAGAACACACCTGATAAGGCCGACAACTCCCCTGAGAAGCTTTAAGCTGAGAGCAACAACTCTTATCTGCACTACCCTTGAACCCTAAACCCTAAACCCTAAACCCTAAACCCTATGCAAGGGAAGACTCAACACCAAATGCAAAGCAATGCACAGCACTGAAGACAGCTCAGGCACCAAACTCCAGCCAGTAGCCCCAGGGGCTTGAGGACAGCCTGGGACTGTGGGGTTTGTCCGGGGATTATAAATATAGGGTTTACACATATAAGGTTTGTAAATAACATAGGGTTTAGAGTTTATACATCTTATAGGGTTTATAACTATAGGGTTGAGAGTTTCGTGTGTGGGGTCGAGTTGTGCTACAGGGGACACCCTGGGCTCAAGCCTTTCCAAGCGAGCTGTGCAGGAAAAGCAACCCCCGGATGTGGCTCCACGGAATTAAACAAAAATAGTGCCAGGTGAAAAAAAAACCTACGTCGCCTCTGAACCCTACAACTCCCCAATTAACCCAATATCATCACAGAAAATAGAAATATAATATACCATCAACTCATTCGCCAAGAGGCTGTTCGGAGCTGGGGCAGCTGCGCCGCCGGAGGGAGAAGCAGGAGGGAAGCGCGGTCCATCCTCGTACTTTTTTTGGCCAAATGTCGCAGAAGGCTTTGATTTCGGCTGGGGCTAAAGGGGAAGTGGGTTTAGAGAAATTGTAGGGTTTATGGGTTCAAGCTTCAAAGTTCAGGGTTCACGGATTCGTGGTATTCAGGGCAACTGCCTGGTTAACGTGCCTGTATTTCCTTGGTTGCTTCGGCAAGGCAAGCATGCCGGTTGAGTTTAGTCCAAAACAAGTATCTAAGGTATCTTTGTTTAGAGAGTCTGAAGACAGTTTGATTCCCGAATGTTTCGAATGCTGCCCTTCACAAAGCATTCGAAACATTTGAAATGTGACTTGAAGGGGTCGGGATTTTGAGTTGAAAGCGGTTTGGAGCTTTGTCTGCGAATTGAGGGTGCAAAGCTGCTTCGGGTGTCCATGGGTTTAGCTTTGGAGGGACGTTATTACTCTCCTCACCCAAATACACCAACAAAACATGCGTAACACCAAACAACCAACCAACCCTGCGAAACAGAGGAACTAACCATGGGAAAACAAAGTCGGGCAAGCACCTGTGTGAACCTGCTAGTTTCATCCTCCCGGCCGCCTGGAATTCATGCCGAAACCTGAATCCTCAACCCAGCCCTGAATGCTTGTGCAGCTCTGAAGCCCTAAGCCCTTATCTAACCCTGAAGGGGTACTCCGTTCTTCTGACCCGGGCTAGCGGTTCAGGGCTTGGGTTTGATGCTTATAGGCCTCATTGGGGTGCCTGGCGGGATTTTTGGGGGCTTTGGCCTGGAAGGGTTTCAGGGAGGTCAAGGGGCCTCACGGATTAAGGTTTAGGGAGGTCAGAAGTGACCCTTCAAAGACTTTAAGAGCAGCCGAGTTGCTGCTGTGGTTCTGCACGCATCCCCAGCAGCCTGCGTGCTCGCAGCAAAAGGCTTCACCTCAGGCATCTGCTCCACACTTCAGCCTGCTTCTTAGAAGTACATGGACGACGTAGCTCATACATTGATGGAACATGTTGCACTTGGCCAAGATCACTCAGCTACTTTCTTGTGGAGCCTTTACTCAGTCTATAGGGCACTGAACACTGCTGGATTCATGGGTCTTGGGTTCTGCGTTTAAAGTTTAAGTGCTATGCAAGAACCTCAAGCAGCAGCTGCAGCACAGCACCACGTTAGCAAAACAACGGCTAAACAAGAAACCACCTCCATAAACACCAGCCGGTAATTCGAGTAGGACCTCTGGTCACAAGTCAGTCATGCACCGTATACAGCCTGTGACCAGAGGCTACACAAACCCTAAACCCCAACATGCTGCCAGGGTACAGTCGTCTCGGCTAGGCAGGCTTGCCAGGGCTCGGCGACCTTGGTGACAGCAGGCGCGTGCCTGGGCCACACCCCAGAAACCCTGCACGGGTGGAGGTTGAGGATTGTGGTGATATATGTTCACACACACACCCACGCACGCACGCACACACACACACACACAGTTATATATATATATATATATATATAACTATGTGCACATGTTCATTCATGTAAACGTGCCCGAATGCCGAACCAATGAAAACAAGTGGACTCAGAGCTTACGGCTCTTTCGGGGTTCAGGCCGCTTTGGAAGGCTGACGAGACGCTGGGCTTCAGTTGCTTGGGTGCTCTCGGCAAAGATTCTGTGAAAATAAACACCTTCGGCCTGAATCGGGCTTCTCCAGTTCCCTCTTCTGTTCGCGAATCTCGGTTTTAAGAGCCGGCTCCAGGGACGTTTAGGGCTTGTAGGTCTTCTGTAGCCATAGGGCTGCTGGACTGTGCGGAGTGTCGGCTTGACACAGGCCTACGCCAATGTCGCAGGTCAAGTATGCACTCGCTCCCCCCCTCCTTCTCTCTCTCTCTCTCTCTCTCTCCCTCTCCCTCTCCCCCTCCCACTGCATTTTTTAAGATACACAATACCTACGCAACGGCTACGGAGGAGCTGCAGCTTTCTGGCTGATGCCATGTTGCGTGATCCCGCACGACGCTGCACGAAGAGGGGGCCTTCCTTTGCATGGGCGAATAACATGATACTGATGCCTCCGGGCTGAACACAGTACATTCAGCGCTGCACTTTCACGGCCAAGTTCACATGTGTACGTCCTCTACCATTTCTTCAGAAAAGCCTCGCCGAGTTCTGACGAAAAGAGCTGAGACAAGCGGCAGCAAATCCAGTAGGGCGGAATCCACGCCGTAGCCTGTTGCCACGCGAGAGCCAAGCTCATCGGCCACGTCGGCCTGAAGGATTCGTCGAGCATGCCAGAGTCAATTTGACGTCCTGTATACAAACATCCATGTACTGTCGAGCTGCCCAGTGTACACCGATGAGCCGATCGATAAGGAGCACCCGAGGCCTCCAGAAGAAAGCTATAGGGTCATGAGACTCTTGGATCGACTAGTAGCTAAACCTAGAGGATCTGAATGTCTGAGCTTTGCTGGGGGTCGAATTTGGGATGGCTTCCAGCACAGCCATTCGCCTGGCGCCGGAACCTCCAAAGTCCCAACCAAACCTCATCAACACATTCGAGAAAAGCAAAGGCAAACCTTCGAACAACATGAACCCTAAACCGCCTAACTACTTCAATAAGCCTCAAGCCAGAACACAAAGGGGGTGTCAAGGTTCACCGACCTCGCGGCAAGTGGGCCCTGGAGGGTCCGCTGCCAAACATCTTGCGAGACTGCCTCCTCGGCTTGCTGGTTCAGGGTCTACAGAATTCATACGCTTCTCAATGACAGCAAGGCTAAAGACAACAGGAACCCATTACAGGTTCTTTTCAGGGGCTTCGTCTTCGTTCGGGATTCGGAGGAAAGGGCTTGGTTCTTTCATACTTATCAGGGACTTTCTATAGTTGCCTCGTTTGGAATGTTAGGTCCAAGGTGGCTGGAAGCCCATCTTGCTGAGCAGCGGCCAGATCATCTAGGAACTGGAATCCAAGCGCGCCCAGCGACCCCAACGGGCCCCAACTGTTCAAGGAAGGATCGCGTGCAAAAGCTGCGCTGGTCTCCCATGCATTCCTCCCTTATCCTGAAGTTTTCAGGTCAGCACATGAGGGAACATATAAACCGTTAAGTACGCCTCTTTTTATCGGCAACTTGAGCCACAGTCAAGGGTAAAGCGATAGTATGCACAGCTCGCAAAAGGAGTGTAATTCCTCCATGAAAAACTACACCCCCCTCACCGTGCTTGGCACAAGCTAAGGTGGACAGAGGATTACGACACACCCTTTCGGGTGGCCCGTGTTGTCCCACCCGCTGTGACCGAAACAAAGGTGAAGGGAAAGCAAAACTTGAGCTATAGTGCATACAAAGTGGGCATTCAGCGGCTCCACCACTGCGATCCGCGCTGACTGCTCCAGCGGGATGAGCCCCAACCCTGACTAGTTGGCTCACGCCACTCACGCCACTCGCGCCATTCACGGTCTGACCACCACTGTTCTTGCCCTTGATGCCAGGGTGCTTCACGAACAGCTGTGTCCCTTGATGAGGCGCTCTGCGTCGATGGACGGGTAGTAGTGGCAGCCTCCGTTCGCTGCTGTGCCGTCTCTCGATTCTTGGCGGCGTGGTAGGCGGTGATTCTTTCCTGCTCCTCGGCAGAGTGGATGCATTCTGCTGCCAGCATTTGCAGCTCGGCGATCATGCCTTCCGGCGTATCATGCTTGATTTCCACAATGCCGTTGAAGCTGTAGATCGTGCGGGCACCGGACAAGCGGGTGGCGATATCGGCATAGAAGCTGAAGCCGATGAAGGCGCCGCCGTAGGCCATCCCGATGGGGTTCTCGGAGAACTGGTCAATCAGTCCAGCCGATTTTAGGCCATCCATTGGCGCATCGCCATAGTAAACCAACTTGCCCGGCATTCCCTTTCGGGAAGCTCCGCTGAGGTAGTTCGACCCCGCCTGCAGAAGCCGCTGCTCTTCTGTGCGGCCTGGGTCCGGGAGCACGGCCTTCACCAGGAGGTCCATTCGGCACGCATCCTGAACCGTGATCCCGTTCCTCATCATCTGCAGGAAGAAGGTGGCATCACGCTCCAACCGATCTGCAATGGAGTCGAACTTGAGCTTTCTCGCACGTTGGAACTTGTCTTTGGCATCGCGTATGATCAGCGCATCCAGGGAGACTGAGCCCCGTTGTTTGCTGAACTTTTCTGCGATGCCACGGAGGTGTCCCAGGAGATCGTCATTCCGAGCATTGTACGTCAGCTTGAGGAGTGTGGTGCGACGGTTTTGCTGGAACGAGGAGTACTGACGGCTTGCCTTGTTGGACTCCGGGAACTGGTTTTCACCGCATGTCATGCAAAAGCGCTGCCCAAGCAGGACGATGCGTTGGCAGGCCGAGCATGGATAGCTCCCGTATGGGGCTTCGCTGTCGCTCTCTGCCTCTTCCGTGTCGGATACCTCCTGTGCAGGCTGCGTTTGGTCATCCACCGATTCCTCGTCTTGCTCTTCAATGGATTCCAACGCAGCAGCCTCGATCCTCGCCTTCTTTGCCTCGATGAAAGCGCCAACAGTGCCCTTGACTCGCTTGGGTTGGTCTTCTGGGACAGCCCTTGACGCCAAGGCTTTGACTGTTGAGCTCGAGGAGGCTTGTTCAACAGTATCCGGCTCACCCTCTCGGGTGGCTGCAGGCTGGGCCTCTCCCGCTTTTGCATAGATCACCTTGTTCGTGTTGGTGTCCACACATGACAGGATATACTGAGGGCCAACGACTGCACGGGTCAAGATCCCGCGGGTACTGTTCTCGAAGAAGACGAGGCCATCTCGGAGGGCTTCATGCAGGTTCACCGCAATCTGGAACGGCTGCGTCGACCTGAGTCCAGAGGTGTACTTCTCGTCCTTGAGGGTGGTAGGTGAGAAATACGCATGGGCACGCCCGCCCTTTCTGCCGCCAGCAACCTTGATCCCGGATTTCAAAATCAACTCCACGCTCTTCGCATCCGTGCGGTGGTATACGACCTGTGGAGCGACATCCAAATTCTCATCGGTGAGAAACCTCCGGGCAAGGAACTCGTCTGACTCGATGCGCATCACTTTCTCCGAGTGGCCGGTGACTGCTCTGATCCGCACAGGAAAGAGGGAGAGATTCAGGCTGCTGCTGATCTCGTGTCGGATCCCAAGAATCTCGAACCTCCTCTTTTTGTCCTGCGCTGTCACCTGCAGTAGCTGTCTTACGCCCCATTTTCGACGAGTTGCTTCATTGAAGCGGTCCAGGAGCTTATCGACATCCGTCCACATGGCGATGTCGAAGTCCAGCCCATACCAGTCATTCTGGTGTCCCCTCAAGAGCAAGCTGAGCAGCTTGAGGTCGCCGTGCCTGAAGTTCACCCGCTGTTCATACTTGCGGAGATCGGCACTTGGCAGAGGCTCAAGGTCGTGGAGCTCCCCGTTGTACCAGTAACCGGTCATCGGGAGGTCCTGCTCCAGGCTTTCCTCTCCACCATGGGTTTTGGACGCGTCCTGGTACATCTCGCGGGCGTAGACATCCTCGCTTTGCCCCGACGACTTACCCTTTCGGGTAGCTGCGCTTGTTGCCCGGCCGTCTGACGCCAGGGGAGGTCGGTAATCCCCATCATCGGCGAGCACGACCTCGTTCAGGGGAAGGTACTCAGCCTTCTCTGACTCGGCCTGGACGACTTCACCCTTGACCTCATCGATCTCCGATACGTCCGAAACCACAGGGTATTCCACCTCGGATCGGGCGATCGTCTTGTCTTGCTGAGCGGGTGCGGCAACTGGTTCATGCGCAGTGTTAGCGTCGGGGACCTCCCACCAGGTGTCTTCCTTGCTGATCTTCACGGGCACAGGCGCCTTGATCTTGTGGACCTTCAGGTCTTTTCTGCCGCTTTCAACCACCTCCTTGTAGAGGCGTAGGGCTTCACGACCTGCTGCACTGTCCATCCTGTAGCCGCCTTCCACCTCGACGTAGGGGAAAAGATCTCCTAGTCGATCCAGAACATCTGCATACCGTGACGCTTCCCTTTCTAGGTCGCCAAGGAGCGCCGTGGTGTAGATGTAGTCTTGGATCTGCTTGCGGTTTTCGGGGGTATCCCAAAGATGAAAATCATCGTAATAGGACAGCTTCATTGCCTGGGATGTGGCGTTCTGAACTTGCAATCCGCGACTCGTGAATTCATCAAACATCTTGGAGATGAATTCATTGTACGCGGGATGCAAGTTGTAGGTCTCGTGGTCAACGTTGCCGACGATGCGGACAAACCCGATATGCGGCTCACCCGCTAGGGTGGCTAGCGCGTCGGCGCAGCGCCTCACCTTCCTCGCAACATCTTCTGCCGAGGTCTGGGAGGTCGAATATGCCGCGCCCGGAGCGAGCCGCGTGGGGATGCATCCTCGTCGTCCAGCAACTTCATTTCCTGACCACCAAACGATCACATCGATCTCGCACTCCGACCCATACTTGGCACGGATTGCCTGGATCTCCTCCTGCACCTGCCAAGTGAGCCACGAAAGCGTTTTTCCCCAGCACATGTGGAGTTTATCGCTCGTGTACCTGAGGGTCAGTGCTGCCATGAAGATCTCCTCTTCGGGAATGGAGAATTTCCATTGCCCCTTGGTGTTCTGTCGCCCAAGGGATGTGACTGAGTCCGTCACCACTAGCAGAAAGCGACTTCGGCGCAACCTTTCGGTTGGCTGGAGCTTGCTGAGACCCTCGTTCGAGATGCGAGCCAGCTTAAGCAGATTCGGCGTTGGAATCTCGGGGTCATTGAGGCTGAGGCTGGCGATGGTCTGTGGGGGGAAGACCTCATAGGACTTGAGGAGCGCGTCATACTCCTTCCCCGCCTGGAGCTGCAAGTACTCCACGCTCAGTCCGGCGTTGACGAGCATGTTGAGATGTCCTTGCAGTGCCAAAGGTCGGCCCTCCATGCCAGTATCGCAGGAGTAGCCCGCACCATGGGCGACCAATCGCGACATTGTTCCTAGTGCCTCAATACTGCTGACCACTTGGAGAGAGCCAGCTAGCACAGAGAGAGTCGGTACAGCAGGCTCAACCGAAGCACTTGTGCACGTGGTGTATGTTTGTGCGTTCCCGATCGATGCGCGCAAAACCGACGCGACCGTTTCGGGAGTGGTTTTGGGACTTTTACCCCCCTCATCGTGAGGGGATGCACATGAACAAACGCACGCATGTTTCAACTGAGCCCGGGGCGTCCTAAAATCAGTGTCTTGTAGGAGTTGCTTGTCATCGTCACCCAGCTTTGTCCACCCCCCTGATGAGTAGGCAATGAGAGAATGCCTGTTTCCTGTAAAGGGTTGGACAGCATGTCGAAGGTGAGGGTTTAGGAGCACGGGTTTTCGACAAGTTTGAAGGTTACGGCCGAACCAGGTCTTACCGTCTTTGTCAGTGAAAGCGTCCATTCTTTGGTCGGGATCCTCCACCCAGAGCTCGCCCCCCTGATAGGGACCGAAGCCGAAGGACCAGTTTTGGCTTCCTCTGAGATTAAACTTGTCGCTGTGAACGCCAGCCCTGCCCATAAAATTGATGACAAACGAAGTCCAGGTAAAATGCTTTGGAGCGTGCTTGCGGATGAAACCATTTATGTAGCGGCACAGTTGGGACATTTGGCCAGTACGCTTTGTTAGGCCGAAGCACCCACCATGTGTCCACAGTCCAAACACGAAGTATTTGGGAGCCAACTCGGTGCCGGAACGAACAAC